ATTGCAAGGTATGAGCTTCCATTTTCTCTTATGAAAAAATATATATGCATCAGTATCTTTATGAATAAGATTATAAAAACTTATGCCATCATCAATCTGAAATATGAAAGAAATACGAAAGACCATGTGAGTAAATGCAAAGGTTGTTTCTGACAACTTGTATGTGTGACTATAAACAAGGTCTCAGGTATGAAAATGAGGGCAAAGTGTAGGAGAAATTGAAGAAAGGTGGAGATTGCTTTAGAGATCTTCCTACTTCCAGTTTCTCCTAAATTTTGGTATTTTCTCTTCTCTACCCTTTAATAGTACAAATCCCTCATGCTGCTCCCTTGCTTCCAGGTCAGACTTCGCAGTTGGCTCCCCTCTCCCAATTTCCACCCCACCCATTAACTTTCTTTGTGCTGATTCCAGTTCCAAAATTAGACATCCATTCTCAATAACATTTCTTCAAAACACTCATCATGGTACCTGATCTCAACCCAGTGTCAAAAAAAAAGAACATTTAATTTAATTATCTTTCATTATAAAATTTCAGTTAGTATAAAACAACAAGTTCAGCATTTCATGGAGTTTGGAGTTATATCATGAGACGCAATGACCTTTCCAATGCTCCTTAAAACCTGTGACCTAAGGAATCACTTAAAGGCTGAATCCAATCCACCAACAAGCACTCATTAATGACTTTAGGTCCGTCATTGTTCTGGGGCTACAAAAACAAAAGCGAAAACAGTCGTTGACTTCAAAGATTTTATAAACTATTTCAGAAAGGCAGAATATATACGTATATAAGTATATTAAAAAGAATATCAAACAGATGCAAGGGGACTTCAAGAGAAAAGGCAAGGAGTTATTTAAAACAGGAAAGAGCTCCTGTAGAATGGGGCACTCTAGATAAGACATGAAAAAACGGGAATTCTAGGACACTGAACAGAGGAAAAAATTCATGTCAGGAATGGGGAACAACAATGCAAAGTCACAGAGATGGGAAATGTCAATATAAAAGGAACAGCATACAAAAGGAACAGCAAGAAGGCATTTTGGGCTGGACTATGGGGGTCCTAGAGAAGAATGAAGTACAGTACGGCTGAGAAGAAAATTTGAGTTCTGTTTCACCAAAGATTGTCAAACAGAGCAGCTTATATTTGATCTTGGAAGTATTAGGGAGCATGAGTGGGGTAGGGTCATGCTCAGATTTTGCTTTAGAAAAGCCAGTTTGGCAGCTATGTGAAGAATAGGTTGTAGTGGGGACAGAACTGTCTCCACTGAGACTGGGACCCTAAATAAGAGGTTATTGAAAGTATCTAGTGATAGGTAATCAGAAACTGAACTAAAGTGGTAGCTAAGTAAATGAAAGGAACAGAGACAATGTGAGATGTGGAGACAGAAAGCACAAGATGTGGAAACTTATTGGATGTCTGTGGTAGGTCAGAGTGAGGTAAACAAGAATATCAGTAAAGTTCTGAAACTGGGTGACTGAAAGAATAGCACTTGATAGAAATAAGGAACTTCAGAAACAGAGGGCATTTTTAGGATGGTGGGGAGGGGAGAGTGAGAAGACTTAGTAGAGACAATAATTCCTTTTGTTGAACATGTTGAGTTTGAGATTTCTATAGGACTTCTGCTTTGAAATAGGCAGTTGATGATGCAACAACATGCTAGATACTAGGTCAAGAAGTATAGATGTAGGACTGATCATCATAGAGAAACTAGACAAACCTATGTGAACTGATAAGGTTACAAAGAGGATCCAGGAAGAGCATGAAGGAGAGCCTATAACAAAACTTTGGCATGTACCCACACTTTGCATGCTGAAAGAATGAATCAGCAAGAGAAACTAAGAGTGAGTCATAAAATACATAAGAATAGAACCAAAAAAGGACTGGGTCAAAAAAATTCATAGAGCAAGGAGAAGGAGGTGGCCAGCAGTTTTAAATACTGCATGGAGGTTATGAAGAGTAAAGCTAGCAAAAAGGCAATCAGATCTATCAATTAACAAATTAATTAGTGACTCAGGAAAGGATCATTTCAAGTGGCTGATGAGGTCATATAGCAGATTACAGCAGATTCAGGAAGTATGAGAGAACAGGCAGTGGAGTCCAAAAGTGTAGACAGCATTATTCTAGACTTAGGCTGAGTAAGGGAAGAGAGAGATGGAATGATAACTTGTCTTCAAAGATTGTAAGGTCTAATCAAGTTTTTTGTTTTGTTCTGTTTTAAGAATGGGCAAAATGTAGGTGTGTTTATAAGCAGGGGAGGAGGAACCAATAGACAGGGAAATTCAGAAGGAGAGAAAAGAATGAAGATAACAAAGACAGGATGGGAAAGGATCAAAGGTATGAGTAAAGTTTCACCTTTGTCTGGAGACTTGGCACCTCACATCATCATCAAGGAATAAAGGAGGAGAGAATGGAGGATGTCAAGAAATTATGACTGAAAAAGAAGGAGAAAAGAAAAATCTCACCAAGAATAGTCTCTATTTTCTAAATGAAGTATGAAATGAAGTCCTAACTTATGAGAGTTTTTGATTAAAAGGAATATGGGAAATTTAAAGAGAGTAGATAAGTTTGAGAAAAGACAAAGTGAAGAATGTGATGTTTTTTTAAAATAGATTTGAGGGGGGAAAAAAGAATTGCCTTGCTGAGATTAGGAAATCAAAATTGGCAATGGACCCAGTTAATAATCTTTGACTTTCATCAGCTCCATTCAATAGTACCTAAGTAGGATTAAAGAAGGTGAATGCAGGAATAATCACAAGTTAATTTTAATAGATGTGGTCTGCAATTATTCAAGAAAGCAAGTGATTCAAGAGGAGACAAAATCAATTAAGTATAGTGTCCCAAATAGTATAAGGTCCCAATTAGGAAAGTTAAGTCAGAGCAAGGAGATTGCCAAGGAAAGTACTGAGGAATATGAGGACTGGAGGTCCCAAGGAAGACCAAGAACATGATTAGGGAGAGTAAGGCTTTGAAATTTTAGTAGAAATACCAAAATTTCAATTGCAACTTCACTTCTTAAGATCAATACTTAGGATTTTAAAAGGTCTTCATGTTGAGAAAATAGAGAATCCATCTTTCCAAACTTGACCTTTCCATTTCTGCTTCTATTTATTTACTAGCAACATACTTGGAATATCTCCTTAAAACCTAAATATTCCTGCCTGAAGAGATCCAGCCCACTGTTTAAAACCCACCTGACTGCATAAGGTTCAGTAATATAATATATATACAGATATGTACAGATACATACAGATATACATACAAGTGTATATATGTGTGACTTTCTGTCTGTCTGCCAGAAGTTAACTCTCACATCTCACTGAACCCTTTCTTATGTTCCCATGCATTTATTTCATTCTAATTTGTATTGCAGTTATTTGAAAATATTTCTCATCTCCCTAACAGTTTAGAAGTTCCATGAGGCCTACAATTAGGCATTGTTGATCTACATGGCCTATACAGGTCTAGAATAGAGCTTTGTATAGAGCAGGCAATCGATAAAGCTGTTGAAAAGTATTAGTGAAACATCCTTATCAGTAATTCCTTTGTCTTGTGTACAAAGTACAGGTTTGTTTCTGTATAACTTTAATGAGAGTAGAGGATCCTTCAGGCATATATTTGTATATTAACTTATGAGTTTATGAAGATATATAGTAATAACAGCTAACATTTACATAGCAATTACCATGTGCTTGGTACTATCCTAAGAAATAATTATTATTTTTCTTGATGCTCACAACAACCCTGAGAGGCAGGTGCTATTATTATTCCTGTTTTACAAATGAGGAAACTGAAACAAGCTAAAGTTAAGTGATTTGTCCAGAGTCCCACAGCCAATAAGTGTCTGAGCCTGGATTTAGACTCGGGTCTTCCTCACTATAGGTCTGGCACTCTATCCATTATTCCACCCAGCTGCCTGGAGACAGATGGGTACTTTAACTCAAACAAGAAGAATCAGATTCTAAAGTGGCAGTCATTCTCCATTCTTCATCATACAAAGAGAATAGAACAGACTTACACAAATAAAGGTGATTTGGGAATTCATTCTCCAGTTGACAATGGATTTGCCATTCAAGATGGCTGTTCTAAGTTATTGGTGGCATAGTCTTTGATTAAGGGAGAATATAAAATTAAAATGGCCCAGGTTGCAGTCATATCCATGACACTGACTTCATTTGCATAACAATTTTATTATTCTGGGGTAATAAGATTGTCAATATGACAGTGTCTTGGTTGGGTTACCACCTTAGTCAGTAGACATCATTTAAAATTGTGTGAGAATCTATCTATATCATTAACATTCTTGAAGAATGGGAAGAATGGCATTGGTTGATGAAAAGAAAGCTCAGATTTGCCTCAGTACAGGAACCTGGAGTAGCTTTCAACTGAGCCTTGGAATCAGAAGCACAGGGTTAGCAATCAGGTTCTGACAATTCTTGTATGACCACTAGAAAACCCCATAACTTCCCTGAGATATGGCATCTTGGGTTCAAAATGGCATGATACTACTTGACCCATCTATCTCACAGGGTTCTTAAAATTCATATACTTTAGAGATACATTGCTATTGTTAGCATCTTTTTCAAGCTGTGAATACTATTCCTAGAAACACAGATCCTTTGGAATGTAGAAGAGCCCTTAAAAATCACTTAGTTCAGGAATTCTTAACCTTTCCCGTCCTGGGCGGCTTCTGGTGAAGCCTACCACTTACTCCTCTGAATAGTATATTTAAATATATAAATTAAAATACATAGATTTCAAAAGAAATCAATCATAAGGAAATATAATTATCAAAATGTTTTTTTTTAATTCCTGAATGTAAGGTTAAGATTCTTTGATATAGTTTCATCTTCTCATTTAGCAAATAACCAAAGCACTGTGGTTTTTATAAAGTCACAGAATAGGGCTGAACCAAAGTCTCTTGACATCCAGCATACTGAGTATTCTCATCAGTTCATAACTGTTTCTTTTTTCTGTTCAGACAATCAAGAGAACCCCTCGAGCATGACCAACTTCACCATGGTGACAGGATTCCTCTGGATGGGCTTTTCCAATACCTCAGAGCTGCAGGTCTTACATGCCATGCTCTTCTTACTTATGTACCTGGTGGCTCTGATGATGAACCTGCTCATTTTCACCATCATCTCTCTTGATGAGCATCTCCGCTCCCCCATGTACTTCTTCCTGAAGAACCTTTCCTTTTTAGATCTTTGCTTTATTTCTACCACACTCCCTAAATCTATCACAAACTTTCTGTGCCGCAGCCGTTCCATTTCTTTCATGGGGTGTGTATTACAGTTCTTTTTAGTAATTGTCTTTGCAGCATCTGAGCTTTCTCTCCTTACAATAATGTCTTATGATCGCTATGTGGCCATCTGTCAGCCCCTGCATTATGAAGTCATTATGACCAGAGGGACTTGTGTGAAGATGGCAACTGTTTCCTGGCTCAGTGGAGGATTGTTAGGGGCTCTGTACTCAGGTAGTACATTCACTTTGCCTTTCTGTAGCTCCAAAGAGATCAATCACTTCTTCTGTGATGTCCCTTCATTACTTAGGCTCTCCTGCTCTGATATACATATTGGAGTAGATGTGACTTTGTCTATCGGGATTACTTTTGGGATTCTCTGCTTTACCTCCATAGCTATCTCTTATGGTCACATATTCTCAACTGTGCTGAAGATTCCAGCCACAGAGGATCAGTCAAAAGCCTTCTCCACTTGCATGCCCCATCTCATCGTTCTCATAGTTTTTATCACAACAGGTGTCATTCTTTATCTAAAGCCACGCCAGGAATCTTACTCAGTTCTAGATCTGTCATTATCTATATTCTACACAGTGGTCTCCCCAACCTTGAACCCTGTCATCTATAGCCTGAGGAACAATGAAATCAAGACTTCTCTGATGAAACTAACAGCTGGGAAACACTTCTCACAGGGAGTAACAGACCTTTTCCATGACTATATGACTGCTTTATTTAAAAAGAAAGAAAAGGAAATCAGCTGTGGCCTTTCTGTGCTTACTTACTTGAACTCTTTCCTTGTTTGACCATGTCAAGGTCATTAGTTAGGAAATGCTGTCTCTTAGAGATTGTTAATAAATGAGTTTCAAAATATGTACATTCTGAGTGAAAAACTTATTTTGACTATTATAAATACCCAAATTGGGGCAGTTAGGTGGCACAGTAGATAGAGCACTGGCCCTGAAGTCAGGAGGACCTGAGTTCAAATCCAGCCTCAGACCAAACACTTGCCACGTACTAGCTGTGTGACCTTGGGCAAGTCACTTAACCCTGATTGCCTCATTAAAAAATAAATAGTTAGATGAAAAATTAAATAAATAAATAAATACCCAAATTAACTATAAAGGACATATGAAGAAAGGTGCTATCTGAATCCAGAGAAAGAATTGATGAATAGAAATATATCTAGAATAATTTTACATATGTATATGTATGTATATATATATGTATATATAGATAGATATATATATATGTATTTATAGATATATACCTATTTGTGTCTAATGGTGACCTTCTCTAGGGTAGGGGTGGAGTGAAAGAAGAAAAAAAAATTGCATGATAACTTTGTTGAATATTTAAAAGGAATAGTAAAATGCACAATTTTAAGATGTCTTAAGGGGCCTCCTTTTCAAAACTTTTGACTCAAACATAGAATTCTCAACAACACACCAATAAACCACAAATCAAAAAAATGAACATAATATGGCTGATATGGAAATCTGTTTTGCATGATTTTACATATACAATTGATATATTGCTTATCTTCTCAGTGGGAGAAGGAGGGGGAAAAGGGAGGGAAAGAATCTGAAACTCAAAATTTAAAAATAAAAAATGTTTGAAAAGAAAAAGGTTGGTTGCAAATATCTATTTCTAATTAGGATACTGTCTGGAACATACTCAGTATTTAATAAGTACTTTAGCTATATATTTAATAATCCACAGTAAAGCTCTTCCAGAGACACTTCAACATGAAATTCAATATAGAAAGCCAACCCTGTTATAATTTGCACCAAACCAATTCATTTTTAAAATATAATTCCTAGAGTCCCTGTGAAGTCATGAATTCTGTTCTTACAACAAATTTAGGGAGTAAGAGAGTCGTTTTATTTCTTTATTTCACTTTTTTTTTCTCTTAAACGACCAGATGAGGAGGAAAGAATGAGGAATAGACTGAATTAATGTTCCAATTGAGCCCAAATAGCAGACATACTGAAAGCTTAGAAGCTTCCTAACGAAAAGCTCCCATTTCATTTTTAATTAACTGCAATCTTATTAGGGGTTGCTTTTTTCTTCTCCCTGAACAACTTTCATCACATATAGATAAAAAAGATGAAACAAGAACACTTTCACCATCACTCACTCATTCCTACATCAGAAAAAAAAAACTAAAATAACGAGTTAACATCTTTTCTTTTTGATCTATTCCAAGTATTTACCGATTCTTTCCTCATTGGAAAAGAAAAAAATAATAATTTTATTCTGAATTCCTCTGGGCATCCCAATTTAGCCTTTCAGAAGGTTTTCAGAAGTAAATTGAAGATTGAACTTTTTCTATCACAGAATGTTAAATTATTTCAAATGCATATACGTGTATATATACATACGTGTGTGTGTGAGTGTGTGTGTATGTATGTACATACTACACTGAAATTTCCCTTGCAAATATCTGAACCCTGGTGTTTTACTTGTGCTTTGTCTTTCTTTTAATTAAACCAAAATGGAAATTTATTTTCTTATTGATGTCCCCTACTTGGAACTTCCATCTCCTTTAATTGCAATATTTTATTTAGATAAAAGAATTATTCCTAAGGAAAGCATTTAACTGGACCATACCTGGCATGCTAATTTAAACCTCAGAAAGGCCATGACCATAGTCTATACCTATGTGATATTCAGGTGTCCCTTTTGCTAAGGCAGGCAAAACTTTTGATCCTACAGCTTCCTTATCTCAACTCCCACAGGCTTTTTTTAATGTATTAGAAGAAGGAAAAGGGGTAAAGAAATCATTTATTTGCCTGAGGTTATTCCCTAAGATAGCTAGGCAAAGGATTCTGTACTTCCTAGAAAGAGAAGAAATTGAAATGGGCCCCCTCTCCACATTCAATTGAAAGAAACTAAGTTTTAGACCAGGTTTCTATCCCTTATAATAAAAAAGTGAGGAAAAGGAAAAGTTCCTATTCTTTGGGTCTTGAAGGTCTATCCTTACCTCTTACATTCATATGCATGATCACTGCACAGACACAGGTTGTTTGATGCAGGTGATACTGACCAAGTCCCAATTCTAAGCAACAGTCCATGGATAAAAGGGAAAAGTATTCCAAATATGATGATTTGGGCAAATAGGACACACTGACTGATAGGAATAAATCATTCCACACAGAGGAAATTTAAGAGCAACAGAAATAAAAATCATTCAGTCGGTCAGACTCTAGCTTGACAGCAATTTCATAACACAGTTCATTTGGGGGAACACATTCACTAACCCCACATTTTCCTTCCTTCTGGCCTCAACAATCAATCTAACAGAATAAGCAGAACAAGATTGATTGGCATCATGTAAATAAGAAATAGACAGACACAGACTCTTCACTGATGCCCTAAGTAGAGATTTCCCATATTCTCCTACCTCTTCAAGTGGTCTATTAGGATTCAGTGAATAGTGCTCTGTTGTATCACTAGCATCTGTTTAGAAAGAGAAAGAGAAGAAAGGATCTGAGCTAATAGTTGGAAAGAGGAATTGCAGAGTTAAGTACTTTGAAGATGGAACAGTTTTTAGTGAGGATTATGCATAGATTATGAACACTCCCAATGGATGGGTGAAAGGTAGGAGTATTGTATTCATAATAGTTGATTAGTTTAAGAAACTGTGAGGTTAGGATGCTTAAAGATCAGAAGTATTCAACTTCCAACTAAGATGGGTGCCTAAATCAAAGCAGGCAGCCAAGCTCCCACAACATTACGCTAGCAAAAATGTAAAAACAGCACTAGATCAAATAATGATCAAGAAATCCAATGACCACCTACAGTAAATTATTTTTTTCCACAAACGAACTACACAAAAAAGACACACCGAAGCCCATGGGCAATAGGAAGGGGGCCTGCCAAGCAAACCAAGCTAAGGAAAACAAGCCAGGAGTCCCACAACGGGAATAAAGGTCTGCCAGAGACACTGGAGCTTACAAGATCTTGTATCTAGTGACAAATACAGTAGAAGTCTCTTCCAAGAAAGCCCCAGGTTGATCAGAAACTTAAAACACTGACAACGGAAGTAACTGATGCACTTTGCCTGCCAATACAATCTCACGCAGACCACAATAACCTATATTGTTAGTCCCTGAGATCTCTAGTGCTGTAACTTGACATGCCATGAAGGTTCCTGAAGATTCAATACTCTTAACCTCAAAAATCTGAGGGAATCTAACCTCTATAAGGAGAGACCCACATAGGAACTCAAGTGATGAAGGTTGAGCTCAAGCAGGGCTTACAACTTCAGTCAAAGGGAAAGCGAAAGGTATGGTACTGACACAAGCAACAATTTAAGAAATAAAGCTGGGGACAGAAGTGAGAAGATACAGACCACCATAAAAAATTATAACCCAATAATAACCATAAATCCAACTTAGAAAGAGAAAATAATTGTAACTGCAAAAGAAAAAAAATTCAATGGAAAGGAGATTTTTAAGCATTTATGATGAAAAGACCAAAGCTAAGTGGAAACTTTGAAATGCAACAACAAAAGTCAAGAGAAACAAGAAAAGGTAAATTTATTTGAGCAGTTAAAAGGGGCTGTAAAATCTAATAGAGTAATAAAAACAACTGTCCTTTTAGAAACTTAATGTATACAAAATGGTATTATGAGAGTTATATTTTAAAAAGAAGGTGCATTGATTCTGTTCTGAAGATTTTACAAGGGAAGACAAAAGAGAAGGTGAAAGGAATACACCAGAACCAAAAGAAGGAAGAAGGGAAGTAAACCTTCTACTTCTCAGAAATGGATATGAAAGAAGAATATACAAATATGAATGAAGAAATTACACAAGAAGCATCAAGTGAACTGCACTCTCAACTGAGCCACAAAAAAGAGGCTCGAATACATGCAAAGAATTAGATATAGAAATATAGTAAGTTCAACAGAGGAATTACCATGGATAAAAAGGAATGAAGGATATGAGGGAGGCTATTACCAGAAAAAGTTCCCAGTGAAATAAATGTCCTAATCCTGATAGGGAGATGGAAATGGAGGGAGAGGGAGAGAAAAGAAATATAATCTAAGAGGGTACTGTAGATTGCCTCTTAAATGATTGGGGAATGGCTAAACAAATTATAAATATAGGAAGGTAATACAATATTATTATACCATAAGAAATGAGGGGGAGGATTTCAGAAAATCCTGAGTAATATGGACTGATGCAGAATGAAGTTATTAGATCAAGAATAATTTATACAAGGAAGACAGCATTGTAAACAACTTTGAAAGACAGTAAAAATAAGTTTTTGATGTCCTTATTTTTTGAAAAATCATTATAAATTCCCTGCCATCCCTCTTTCTTCCCCTTCCAGAGCACCATCCCATATAATAAATAGGTTTTGGAAAGAGAGAGACAGAGACAGAGAGAGACAGGGAAACAGAGGCAGAGAGAGACAGAGACAGAGGGAGGAGAGGTAGAAAAAAAATCAGCACAACTAATCAATAAACTGAAAAAGTCAAAAATCAAGTGCAACATGTAGATCTCCCACTTCCATGAAGGAGATGGGTTGATGGTATCATTTCATATTTCTTCATTTCAGTCATGTTCGAAGTATTTACTCAATACTGGAGAAGTATTAACACATGAATATGTGTCTCACACAATATTCATCTTTATTATATCTAATTTTTATTGCATCATGATCTGAAAAGGATGCACTTAATATGTCT